ATCAAATGAGGACCCAGATTGTTGGGGGCAAGAGGCTGGCTCTGTAAACCGCTTAAAGAGGGCTCTAAAAGCACTGTAAAGTGGTATATAAGCGCTATTCCTATTCCTCCTTCCTTCCTTCCTCCCTCCCTTCCATCCTCCCTCCCTCCCTTTCCTTCCTTCCTTCCTTCCTTCCTTTCCAGAAAGAAAAAGCACAGTGGTGCAGTGGTTAGAATGCAGTACTGCAGGCTACTTGTGTTGACTGCCGGCTGCCTGCAATTTGGCAGTTCAAATCCCACCAGGCACAAGGTTGACTCAGCCTTCTGTCCTTCCGAGGTCAATCAAATGAGGACCCAGATTGTTGGGGGCAAGAGGCTGGCTCTGTAAACCGCTTAGAGAGGCTTTAAAAGCACTGTGAAGCGGGATATAAGTCTAAGCGCTATTGCTATTAAAAGGCTTCCTGAATTTTAGAGTCGGGGCAGGTCAGCTGGTCCTCCGTTTTGTCCCTTGTCCTGCTGACCATCACAGAAGCCACAAAGGCCACCCACCTTCGGCCCGGTTCATCATGGGTGAACTCCTGGACATGCTTTGATAGCCGACCGGGGTCCTTCTGGCGTTGGCATCCTCGTAGATCCCCGGGCTGACTTGGGACTTGGGAGCCTCGTGGAGGGTTGACCGCAAGACGGAGGGTCCCGAGCTGACCACCGAGGTGTGGCGAGAACGCATCTCTCCGGCCTTGGGGTCTTCGTGTTTCCCGCGTTCCACCACCTTCATGTTCTCGGGTAACATCTCCATGGGCGGCATGCCTCGAGAGAGCTTGCTGGACCCGGTGATCAGGGACTTGACGTTGTGCTTGATGGCCGACTGACAGGAGCTGCTCTCGTACTTGATGGGCGTGCCCTGCAGGAGGAGGAGGAGAGGTGAGGGTCATATGGTGACTCCATGAAACCAGGTGGGCGTGGCTGGGTGTGGCCATCTGAGTGGTGCCAGGGGGGAGCAGCTGGGTGGGTGTGGCCATCTGTGCTACCAGGCGGGCATAGCTGGGTGGATGTGGCAATCTGAGTGGTTCCAGGTGGGCATGGCTGTGTGGGTGTGGCCATCTGGGCTGCCATGTGGGTGTGGCCACCTAGGCTGTTATGTGGGTGTGGTTACGTGGGCGTGGCCATCTGGGCTGCCATGTGGGTGTGGCCATCTAGGCTGCCATGTGGGCATGGCTGTGTGGGTGTGGCCATCTAGGCTGCCATGTAGGTGTGTGGGTGTGGCCATCTAGGCTATCATGTGGGCGTGGCTGTGTGGGTGTGGCCATCTAGGCTGCCATGTGGGCGTGGCTGTGTGGGTGTGGCCATCTAGGCTGCCATGTGGGCGTGGCTGTGTGGGTATGGCCATCTAGGCTGCCATGTGGGCGTGGCTGTGTGGGTGTGGCCATCTAGGCTGCCATGTGGGCGTGGCTGTGTGGGTGTGGCAGG